GCACATCCCGGTAGTACGAAAATGTATAGAGATCTTCGAGATACATTTTGGTGGAGAAATATGAAAAGAAGTATAGAGCTGTACATGTAGAAGTGCATGGTATGTCAACAGGTTAAGGCAGAACACCAAAAACTAGCTGGATTGTTAAATCCACTAGATATACCTGAATGGAAATGGGAAAATATCACGATGGACTTTGTGGTTGGATTTCCGAAGTCAACAAGGGGAAATAATGCTATATGGGTAATAGTGGATCGACTAACGAAGTAAGCTCATTTTCTTCCAGTGAAAATGACATTCAGTTTAGACCAATTGGCACAGTTGTACATTAAAGAGGTTGTGAGATTACACGGTGTACCTGTATCCATTGTGTCTGACAGAGACCCAAGGTTCACGTCCAAATTTTGGAAAAGTCTACAAGGAGCTATGGGAACGAAGCTGAACTTTAGTACAGCATATCACCCTCAGTCCGATGGTCAGTCTGAAAAGACCATCCAAACTTTGGAAGACATGTTGAGAACATGTGTTTTGGATATAGGAGGTAATTGGGAGTCATACTTACCTCTAGTAGAGTTCGCTTATAATAACAGTTTCCAAACAACTATTGGAATGACACCATATGAAGCTCTCTATGGTAGAAGATATAGATCCCATGTTCATTGGGATGAAGTCGGAGAGAAGAGAATTTTAGGACCAGAAATAGTTGAAAGGACGGTCGAGGTAATCGATAAGATCCGTGCAAGAATAAAGGCAGCACAGGATCGACAAAAGAGCTATGCAAATAAAAGGAGGAAGGATTTAGAATTCCAAGTTGGGGATAAAGTGTTTCTGAAAGTAGCACCGATGAAAGGTGTATTTAGATTTGGAAAGAAAGGCAAGTTACGACCCCGGTATATCGGACCTTTCGAGATACTTAATAGAGTCGGAAATGTGGCTTACCGACTAGCTTTGCCACCTGAATTATCGGCAGTGCACAATGTGTTCCATATATCGATGATAAAGAAGTATGTACATGATCCTAATCATATAGTGAGTTATCAAACCTTGGAGGTACAGAAAGATTTGTCGTACGAGGAACTACCGATCAAGATATTGGATCGAAAAGTGCATAAATTAAGGAATAAAGAGATTCAGCTGGTTAAAATACAGTGAAATCATCACAGCGTAGAAGAAGCCACTTGGGAAAAAGAAGAAGAAGCTAAAGACAAGTATCCAACACTATTCGCCCAATCAGAAGGTAAATTTCGAGGACAAAATTTTAATTAAGGTGTGGGGGATGTAGAACCCCAAATAATTCTAGACACCTTAATGGCACTAAGACATGAATATTGAATGATTAAAGTATACTTCAGATTTTTAGTCTCATTTGAGACCCATTTTCGACATAGGAAACATTCGATTTGGAAAATGATATTTGAACAAAAATTGTAGCTCTTTGAGTTAGCTTTCCAATGCACTTTGAATTACCTCAATCGGATAGCGGGAGAAAAAGTTATGATAGAAACACTGAAAGCTGTGCAATGTCAACCGAACTACAATCGGTCGACCGAAACTGCCTGAAATGAAAATTCTCGTTTTTCTCTAGAATCTAAATATTTATTTTCATCAATTATTTTCTCAAAGGGCCACCCACGTTTTTGGCAATAAAAATCCCACTAAATTGAAGCATTTAACCTCAAACTTAAATGGCACCCATGTTTCTCTCTTAAATTAAATTTGACCCTTCATTTGCTTTAAGTTATGGGATATTTACCTATAAATAGAAACCTCATTTCACTCATTTTTTCTCACACCAAAAGCAAAAGCTTTTACATACTAAAGAAAGAGTTTCCAAGAAAGAAAAAGAGAAAGATGAAAACTATTTTTCCTAGAAGTTTAAAAAGTGTTTTCAAGCATCAATTCTCAACGGTTTTCAAACATCCAAGGAGTGCATTTCTTTCAACGTCCAAGTTTCATCGAAATTTTCAATCGAAGTTTTCAAAGTTTCAAAAGTATCAATCAAGGTAGGTAGAGGTACAATGTGTTTAATCGTATTAAGTTATAAGTTTCGATTCATGTTAATGTTTGTATGTCAAATGGTACTTCGGTACGGCATATCCCTCTATGTTATCGGTTGTATGTCAAATGGTACTCCGGTACGGCATGCCCCTTTATGTTGAAGAAATGTTCGTATGTCAAATGGTGCCCTCGAGTATGGCATACCCCTTCATGTCAAATGGTGCCTCCGGATACGACATGTATGAAAAGTTATAAAGTTAATGTTTTGATATGTATAGTTTGATCACAAATGCACCTATGACACCTATTGAGTTTTTCAACTCACGGGTTTAATCACATCTCTACAGATCGAAAGAATTCTACCTCTCATAGATGGAGAAGAAGATGGAGAGTGATGCAACGAGCCCATAGAAATCCGGTGAATAAGTGATTTGGATTTATTTTTATGAAATGTTTTCCAATGTTATTTCTTTAAAGTTTTGAATAACGCAGAATGCGAGAACAAGTTATGTTTTCTTCAAATAAATTACATTTTGGTGTTTTGAAAAATAATTCAGTGTTTTTGTTTATAGTATTTGAAGTATTGTTATTTAAATTATTATCCGAAAATGTAAGCTTCCGGTAAAACGTATACACTTATTACTAAACCACTGGTTAAGCTATGTAAAGTAAGTAGCGTTCTGGTCTACTAGGAGTCGGGGCATTACAACATCAATAACGCTACAACTAGCTTGTATAACAATCACAAGGTTGCGTGGCAAAGTTGAGGATGTACATATTTCCTGTGGACTTCATTGTGTTGGACATGCCAGAAGATCGAGCATTCAAGTTAAATTGGGTCAGTCATTCTTAGCAATGGGACTAACCCTGATTGACATGGAGAAGTGTGAGCTAATATTGAAGGTGGAGGACAAGCAAAAGATATTCAAAATTTACACCCAATATGAGCAAACTCCTATCATCAAAAGTTATTGTAGAGTAGATGAAGAAGAGCCACCTGATCAACGAGGTTGCCAGAATAAAAATTCATATTTTGATGGACTTCTTGATAGGGATGAAAATAGAAATATCAAAATGTGAAAAGCCAAAAAAAGAGTACATAACAAGAATTGCACAAAGTGTAAGGATGAAATAATTTAGTTCGAGCCACCATAATCAATCATGGCACAAAATCCAACTAATGACTTTGAAGAAGAGCTTCTTAGGAGGTAATCCAAGCTTTCTTCTTTTATTTATTTTATTTTCAAGTTATAGGATAATTTAGTTTATTTATTAGTCTATTTAGGAGTCATCACCCATATCTCGTTTACCCTTTGGTCATTGAGTAACTAAGTTAGTTATTAAATGTTTGAACTAAGTAAACCTTGTTCCATGCACCTAATATTTCAAATTTGAATTTTTAGGGATGTGACATAGCGAAATACTCAAACCAACATTGACAAGGAGAACACGGTATAAATCTCAAGTGGGGTGAATGTAAAAGAAGATTCGATCAAGTTCAACACCAAGGCACCACAACATCATAGGCGATATTAACATTTCAGGGAAGCCTCCTCCTTTTTTTATTAAATTTCACATTGAGGACAATATTTAGCTTAAGTTTGGAAGGGTGTATTATTAATTGCAAAATTGCCTACCTAAGTTTTTGTGTGAATTGGACAATTTGGTTTACAATTACATTTTACTTTGAGATTTTGTGTTGATTTATGAATTTTGGATAGAACGCATGCTAAATTGATTGAACCTTAACCTTATAAAACTTGATATTATAAGTACACTAGAATTCAGTTTGACATTGTGATGAAACGAGTTGATTCATTTGTTAGATATGTTGATTTAATTAGACATAGATGTTTTACATAAACCATAGTAAATCATTTATCCTCGGACCAAATTTAGCACAGTTTGAGAATGAATTTACAGTTGTAGAAAGATGCAAATATCAATGTTGATTCCATGTGTGAAAACTTATGTGTGAATTGTCTTAGACTAACATGATAAAACCTGGCAAAAGTCATAAGTTGGAAGTCAATTTGTTTAAATAAGTGTGTGATAGAAACATTACACTAATCAAAGCATATACATTTGAAATTTAAAAACTTCTAGTGATTCTGAATTAGAACTATTGTGAACTCTCATAAATTGCCAAGCAATGGGCGGCTGTGGCCCTCTAGATTGGTTCTGTGGGTTACAAATTCTTGATAAGCTTTCTTGCTTTTAATTATACAATGTGAAATCTCTCTCTCTCCTAGAGATTTCCCGTATTTAGTGTGTTAATCAAAACCACAATCTTCATGATCTTCTGGCGGTCAAGAAATTGCTTATACCTCAATTATGGCATTTAAATTGCGAAAGTTTATATTCCTATTATACATGCCAAGTTCTTGTTTTTAGTGCAGAATGAAATTTCTTATCTAGTTACGACGAGGACGGGAAGAGCGATTTTTCCAAGAAGTTCTATACGATCAGTATAGAATAATGCTAATGGTGCTAGAGCACTAATCTAGATTGTCACACTTGATAAGTTCAACTAAATGAATCATGTGACATTACATTTAATTAAACCTATCCTTTAATACCATGCAATTACCATCTAAATGGATGTTTATCACCAATGATGTTAAATGGCATTACTCATTAGTACAATGGGCAATAAAATATACTCAAGAAATATGAACACGTGGCGTTACGAGAGCCGTTAGATTGAATTATGGAGGTACAAGATGCTTAGGATACTCCAAATGAATAATGTATTCTAGAGGTAACAGCTGCTAAACTATTTGTAACCCTACCAAAAAGAATTGAAATTCACCAAACTGGAACCAGACAGTTATGGTTAAGTTTGGTTCATGGAACCATTTGGTTCCATAGGTAATTCTCTGTTAAATCCCCATTAAAACTAGACCATGCCCCCTCCTAGCTTTGATGGTTAGGCAAGAAATCTACTCCTCTCTAGCCAAACTTGGAATTCCATAAGAGACCAGAAAAGGCAAACATAACTACCTAGAAGAAAAAATAAACTATACATTTGAAATGAATAATTACTCCAAAGTGAAATGTATAAAAGAGGTAAACAAAGTTTAACAGTTCAACTACATTAAGAATCGATGTTTGTAAGTGCCATTGGTTAAATATACTCAACACTAATGTGAAGCTAGCATGGCGCAATATACATTCCATACTTGTCACGTACAGATTGAAGAGATCTACATTTCCTTTGTTTAACTGTCCATGGCCAATGTTCAACCCAAGATTTTGTACTTGCTGTCTAATCTTTTTTATGGACTATAACGAGATGCCTGTAAAATGAGAGAGTAATTTCAATCCTCAACTAAATGAATGCACTCAACCTAGAACCTACTCATAATGCTTTTGCAGGTCTGACACCTCACCTGTATGTTAAACATTATATAATTCTATTATGTACAAGTAGCATTATTCTTTATCGTGATCGTCTCTTTTATACGTTGAATGCTCTATCCATAACTTGATCTATTCATAATCATTCTCCACTAGTAGCATTTTGCTATCATTTTAACAGGTTTCTATTTAATATGAAAAGCTCAAATTGACAAATATATCCGGTAGTTGGTGTTCGTGATGGCAAAATGGACCTGCTGCCTAGTTACAGTAGGGCCGTGACTGGCCTAGTTATGGGCGAGGCTTGGCACCAGGGCTCAAGTTACACCAATGAAAAAAATGAAAAGAGAGAGCAAGGTTCTCCGAACAGAAAGCCATTTCTCTTTGCAGCGATTTTGAAGAGATCTAAAGGCCCTCAAATCCTGTCGTCGGCCCTGGACTATATGTGGCCTGTGCCAGCCTGTTTGTCACGACTAAACATGTATTTGATTTTCTTTGAGCATGCATGCACATGTCTTAGTGTGTGTTTGTGTGTGTGTGTGTGTGTGAGGGGCGGAGAGAGAGAGCGCTTACATCAATCTTATCTTTTGTGTTTTTCATTGCTCGAGCCCTCGGTTCTCGAATCTAAGCTGAAACACTTCAAAAGAGCTTGTTTATCCAGCCCGAGATAGTTGCAAGGGTGGTTTGGATGCCTAAAAAGCCCAAAAAATATAGAATCATTCAATGAAGATTCATCGCATTCTTGAACTTCCTCTATCATCGTCTGTCCACTTGTTCCCGCATCTCTATTAATTCTTTGGTTCTCATTTACCTGCTATGATAAAAATTTACACATTTTCTTCCTATCAATCAAATCAAATTAAACTTAACTACCAAATTGTAAATTCATTTGTATAAGTAACAAGTTCAAACAATAATCTGCATCTTTCGAAAGAAAAGTCAACAGGATATGCATTCAAGTTCTTTTTAGTCAGTGCTAATCAAATGGGCCCACAGAAGAGAGATGCAAGAAACTTAACTCTCATTTCCCTTAACGATAAGAAATAAAAAATTGAAAAAAAACTATTCACAAATAGGAACAACTGATGTCCAGAAGAGGACACCAGTCGAAGGATCAAGAAAATTTACAAAAGGGGGAGTACATCTAAAAGAAACTCAAACAACTGTATACTTTTTTAAGTTTCCAAGTTTTACGTCTTAGTTTCTTGATTATAAAATTATTCAAATAAGTTCTCCTATTCCTTTTCTGTTATGGGAAACTTCTTCTCAGGTAGCGAGACCGAAAGTACCCATATGGGCATATCAAGGCAAATACAAACGACCTCTACAATGAGAATATACTCATTCACAACATATTTATGATGATGTTAAAGGTTCTATTTCTTAACAAAGGATCATTAGAGCTTGAAGGAAACTTCTAATCAAGAAGAAAAATCAGCTTAGCAGACTTACTACAAATTTTGACGAACCAGAATTAATATGCTTGATACTTGAAGTGGACAAGATAGTTGAAAAGTTGCATGTAAAACTACGAAATTCCCAGTTATTGGCAATTCAAGTTTAGTAGAGTTTTAAGTTCAGCATTCTGGTGAATTTTGTTGCCTATCCTTCTATAATTTTTAGCATCAGTGATGGTGATTTTTCAGTATAAATTTTTCCGAAGGAACTCTGAGGATAAGCGTATTAAACAAGCTATATTCTACTAATTTAGGGTTAGTTCCTCTGTAACAATCTAATGAACAAAGAGAGAGTAAGACTGAACGTTCAGCTATACAAGGAAACTAGTTAACAAAAGATAGCCAGTCCATAAAATCAGCATAATAAATGAGACTTCAGAAAGATTTGATTCCAAATTCGTGTGAAATTCGAAGTCCTATGTTATTAAAATGATGCAATATAGACGTCCCAAATTTGTTCAAAAGCGAATGATACTCAGGGAAAAAAAAAAAGTTTAACTCAGATGAAGAATCAAATTGCATAGAAATGTCTGATTTTATTTTATTCTTTTAATTACTTAACGATCCTAGTTTTAGACTTTGCAGGATCAAGATTTCGTCAGGAAAGAAAGAAGAAAAACTGATGTAAAATTGTTCAAACATAATTGAACATCATGGAAGAAAAAAAAACCGAACCATATACACAAATAAAAAAATTCCACGTACTTATCTATGTATACTTATTTTCTGATGTTTTTCAATGAAAGCTAACATAAACTCGTGTTTTTCCTAAAAGTTATCTTTTTCTTTAATTACTGAAACCCATAACCTAAAATAGAGGCTCATAATGGTCCCGATAAATGTATAAAGTTGCAAATGAGTGGGGCCCCTCAGGACACATCCAAGTTGATGGAACAATCACATTGGGGGGTTCTGGAACCAAGTGTGGGGAGTTCGATTCCTGATTGGAGCAGCCAAGTGATGTAATAACCAGAGGAAGGGTTGGAGCAGCTTGGTGATGTAATAACCATGGAGGAGAATCCTTTGGAGAAGGAGTAAAAGCTATGTGGGAACCTGGAAACCAACAAGGGCACAACCTGCGATTTACCTCCCTGAGTAGCTGAGAGGCCGGAGGTTCAGGGACGAAGATTTAATCTGGCGCAAGTTGGGACACCTCGTTAAAAAAAAAAAAAAAAAAAAAAAGAAGTGAAGTTGCAAATGAGTGGGATATCAATACACTTTTTCTTATCTCTCTTTTTGACAATAAAGTAGAATCCGAAATCCCCATGCTTTTGCCAGATGCTGAAGCAATCCTTTAAATATACAGGCAGAAGCCCTTTTTCAAACTTGACAGTAATTCTATGCTAATAAGTAACCTTTTAATATGCAAATGATCATAACTTGCATTCCAAATATAACATGTCCACTTACCAACAACTCGTGCTAAAGTAGAATCCGAAATCCCCATGCTTTTGCCAGATGCTGAAGCAATCCTTTAAATATACAGGCAGAAGCCCTTTTTCAAACTTGACAGTAATTCTATGCTAATAAGTAACCTTTTAATATGCAAATGATCATAACTTGCATTCCAAATATAACATGTCCACTTACCAACAACTCGTGCCTCCCCCAACCCAATCACCGACCCTCACAACCGCAAGAACACTTTTCCTAATAAATTTGAGATCTGCTGTATGTATCATTTCCGGGATCATTTGAAATATCATAACATTTGAAATATCCAAAACTAAATAAATCCTTGGAAACTGGAACAAAGCACCTTAAATTAGGCCTAACCGATTAACTCTAACACGTTCTATCAAGGTCACATTCTTATTAGAGGACAAGGCCTAGATCAAGTGGTAAGAACG